TCTGGGCAGCTGTATTCGGTCAGGTCAGGGGCAACTAGCTGCACCTGCAGAACCCAGGAGCAGGGCCCGAGCCCGACCGCCCCTCCCCGCCCCTGCTCCGGGCAGCTGGCCTGACACTGGGGAGGCGGCTGCCCCCTGGAGGAGCGAACCAGACCCTGCGCTGCCCCGATGCAAGGCAGGGGCTCTCCGGCGGAAGAAAAGCGACTTGCCCAGACCGCCCGCTCGCGCGGTGGGGGAACTCCAGACGCAGGCAGCTTCTCCTGTTTTATTTCAAACGGCATCTCGCGTAGGGCGCCCGGGAGACAGTGCCAGGGGCCTGGACACGGGGCCGGCCTCGCGTGCAGCTGGGGCCACGGCGGATTCCCCGGCACGGGGGCTCTCGCCTGTGCCTAAAAGGCAGGCACGATGGTTCCAAGCCGGGGCTCTGCCACAGCCCCTTCCGCCCTCTCCAGCCTCCCCACCCGCATCTCGTCCCACGAATGACTGCGGGAAGCCGCTCGGTTTTGGAATGTTGGAAGCAGCAGCTGCGGGGCCGTCTTGTGTCCCAAAGTTTTGTGTCCCAAAGTTCAAAGGACGGCACCCGACCGAAGTGTTTGCCGCTGGACTCGTCAGTCCTCGTTAACTGGGAGCAGGCCTCGTTGGGTGCGGACAGCTCGGAAATCCTGCCCGGCACCCTGCGGGGCAGCTGCGGAAAGTTCCACTCGCTCCGTGCCATCGCTGGAGGATTTCCTCTACCAAGGGACCCTTCGGACAAGCAATCCCCTAGGTTCCGAGTGCAGGGCGGCCCTCCAGGTGTGCTGGGCTACAGCTCCTGCCGCGGCTGGAGGGCTCCTGGTCGGCGATGGTGGTGCAGGATCTGTAGGCAGTCCTGCGGAAAGGAACGAGCACCACGCACCCAGCTTGCGGGTGGATGTTCCCTCGCCATCGCCCTTCCCAGCGTTTTCAGAACGGGTGGGGAATGCCTCCGGAACTCAGTGCAGGGGAAGCCGGCTCCGAACACGCAGGACTTCGCCCGAACCAGCGCAGGTGCGCTGCGCTGCCAGGCCCCGGCCCCCCGCCTCACTGCCAGGCCCCCGTCCCCTCCTGCAGCAGCCTGTCGACCTCCGTGCGCTGCAGCCAGAGGCGCTGCTGCTTCTCGCTCTGCAGCTCCTCCACGTGGTGCCTGCCGCGGCACAGCTGGGCCCCGTCGCAGCCGCTGCCATGAAGCAGCCGGCAGGTGCTGCAGCACGACGAGGGCAGGGCGCCCGGGCGCAGGCACGAGTGCAGCAGGTAGCGGGGCGGCTCGGTCGCCGCGCCCATCCCGGCGGCGAGCCCCTGGGCCCGGCGCAGGCCGGCGGGGCTGAGCTGGGGGCTCCTGGCCTGCCGGGACGACGGGGAGGCCGGGCCGCTCGTCCCGTGCGGCTGGGGGCCGTCGTAGTGCGGGCTGGGGCACAGGAACCGGGCCCCCAGCTGCTCTGCCTCGGCTGTCCTGCTGAGCTCCCGCCGCAGGGAGATGAACGAGAAGGAGGTCTCCGGGTCGGCCTCCTCGGAGCCCAGCGGCCCATTGCCGTAGGGCTGCTCCGGGCCTGGCGAGCACCCCTGGCCGCGGCTCTCCGCCCGTCCCCGAGGGCTCCGCAGATGCAGCGCTCTGCTCCGGAGCCGGGGGCTGCCGCGCTCACACAGGGCTCCCGGACGCTGGGGTGGCGGCAACTGGGCACCCAGGGCCTCCTGAAATGGGCTCGGTCCCTCGGGGCTCTCCCTGTACAGATCGATCCCGTCGGCCAGCTCTGCATGGAAATCTCTGCCCTGCGGCCGCCGGACGAGGCTCTGCAGCGCGGCCACGCAGGCCTCCAGGCTGCCCGGGGCTTCCCGCCGGGCCTGGAGCAGCTCTTCTGGGCTGACCACGCAGGGCTCCAGCTGCCCCGCCAGCCGCTCCAAGAGCTCGCACTCCATCCTGGCAGCGAAGAAGCCGCACGCGGCCGAGAGCAGGCTGGCCCCCGGGGGCAGCTGGGCGATCTCCAGGCAGAGGCTGTCCCTCTGGATGTAGCCCAGGCGCCGGAAGCTCCTGGCCAGGTCTGCCTCCGGCACGACTCCCTGCAGGACGTGCACGTAGACGCCGGAGAAGGTCTGCAAAGAAGCGCCCGTGAGCTCCGGCCGTCCTCGCCCCGCAGCCCTCCATGCCCCCCCCCCCGCGCCCAGCGGCACTCACCTTGATGGTGCTGAACTCCTTGCGCCAGGGAAAGAAGTACAGGTGGATGGCGGCCAGCTCCAGCACCTCGAAGGCCCTCCGGAGGCTCCGCAGCGCCGCCCCCAGGTCCGGCTGGCCCCGCAGGGCCACGGCGAGCATGGCAAACAGGTCCTCGCCCTGCAGGGCGGAGTGCAGGCCCGGGTCCTCCAGCAGCTGCCGCCACAGGCGCTCCTTCAGGGCGCCGTCGGTGCAGATGTCGGCCCGGCCCCGGCGGAAGTCCCTCTCCAGGCACCTGCGGTACTCCTCCTGCAGCGCCGCCCCGGAACTCATCCTGTTGCAGGAGGAGAGCGAGGCCTGAGCCCCTCGGCTCCCTCCCTCCCACCCACCCACGCCGGCCCTCCAGGTTCTGTGGGGGCAGGCGCAGCCGCCGTGACACCGGCACCGGCGTCGGCACAGGCCTTCTCCAGCGCGGGTCCCTCGGACCGGGCGTCCCGCTGGCCCCGTGCCTGCCGGCCCTCCGTCCCCGGGCGCCTCCTGCGGGAAAGGGACAGGGCCCGAGGGCGCGCC